GGCAATAAATTGTGGCTAATTAGTAGTGTGGTTACCATGGCAATTTCCTAGTAATTACAGGTTACAAATGGTACAAGGCTTCAACCCAACCCAATTAGTTAATTAGAAAGATTTAGAAATTTGTCCAAAAGGGAAATAACCTGCTTTGGAGAAAATGAAGGGAATGTGTCGCAGCTCCGGGAGCCAGAGGCGGAGAGGACACTGGGGGTGTGCAAGTGGGGAAGAAGGATGGGGCTGCAGGGTGGCGGGTCCCTGAGTCCCACCTGGAATTTCCAGGGCCTGGACGAGGCCGGGGGACTCCTCAGGGAAGCCTGTTTGGGGCTGGAGGCTGGCGGGACCAGGACAGGGACACCTGCCAGCTGCCACTTAGCGGCCGCTCCTTGATCGGGCAGAGGCGGGGCCCAGCACCACTTCCTACTGGAAGCCGCCCCGTCCCCTCCGTGGCTTCATCGCGAACAGCCACGCGCTGTCCTGGAGGACGGTCCACGGAGCCACCTGAGTTCAGAGCTCCACGTCCCTGAGGCTCAGGCTGGCTTTGAGTCTGGAGAGGCAGGCCCAGCCTGTGTGAAAAGGGAGTCTGACCATGACAGCAGTGAGCGTGGCGGTGGCCTGGCCCTGCCCATCTCCCCGGCCCCACACACCAGCTCCGGCAGGCAGGCTTCACTTGCCCAGGCGAGAGAGGCCCTGTGATTTCCCAGGGCATCTCGGACGATGAGAGGCGCCCAGGGACCAGGGGAACCCCTGTCTCAGTGAGCACAGTCACCCAGGAAACTTGTGCCCCAGCCAGTGGTGGGCAGGAGGTGCGAGGGCTTGGGCTCATCTCTGCACAGACTTGCCTAGGCTCTTATTTCTTCTCTCTCTCTCTCTCTCTTTTTTTTTTTTTTAAGTCGGAGTCTTACTCTTTCGTCCAGGCTGGAGTGCAGTGGCATGCTCATGGCCACCACAACCACGACTTGCTGGGCTCAGGCATTCCTTCTGCCTCAGCCTTTCAAGTAGCTGGAGCTACAGGCACGCACCACCATGCCTGGCTAATTTTTTAAAATTTATTGTAGAGACGAGGTCTGGCCATGTTGCCCAGGCTGGTCTCAAACCTGTGGGTTCAAGCAGTCCTCTCGCCTCCGCCTCCCAAAGTTCTTGGAATACAGGCTTGAAACACTGTGCCCAGCAGGCTCTTCTTTCTTTTTTTTTTTTTTTAAATGGGACTGGGCTCGGTGACTCAGCCTGTAATCCCAGCACTTTGGGATGAGGCAAGTGGATTGCCTGGGCCTGCAGGTTCGAGCCCAGCCTGGGCAACTTAGCGAGACCTCATTTCTATGTTAAATCAAAAATTAGCTGGGCGTGGTAGCGCTAGCCTATATAGTTCCGGTTACATGGAAGACTGAGGCGGAAGGATCACTAGAGCCCAGCAGGTTGAGACTGGGGTGGCCATGAGTGTGCCACTGCACTCCAAGTTGGGACAGAGTGAGACTCTGACTCAAAAAAAAAAAACTGAGTTCTTCTAGAGTGTTCTGCTAACTCTTCCATGGCACCCAACAACCCTTTAGAGTAGGGTTTTTCAAACCTTCGTGTGTGCACAGGGGTCTTTTTGGAATGCAGGTTCTGATCAGTAGGGGCCCGAGTCTCTGTGTTTTTAGCAAGTGCCCAGGGGTCATCCCTGCAGCTGGCCCTTGGCCCTTTCAGCAGCAGGTTGTGGGGTCCACCAAGCCCTTTCATGTGGTTCACCTTTTTTTTTTTTTGAGTTGGAGTCTCACTCTGTCACCCAGAATGGAGTGCAGTGGCCGCTCCCGGCCACCGCAGCCTCCACCTGCTGGGCTCTGGCGATCCTTCCACCTCAGCCTTCCAAGTAGCCGGAATTACTGGCATGCGCTACCACGCCCGGCTGATTTTTTGATTTATTGTAGAGAAGAGGTCTCGCTGTCCAGGCGGGTCTCGAACCCGCGGGCTCAGGCAATCCACTCAACCTCAGCCTCCCAAAGGCGTGGGATTACAGGCTGAGCCACCGAGCCCGGCAAGGCTCACCTGATTTTTTTAATGGACAAGTAAAAACTTATATCCAGGGGATCCGTGGTGATTTGAAAGATATACACCAGCGATGGCTGAACTGAGCTAATTAACATACGCATCCCCTCACATACTTGTCATTTTTTTGTGGTAAGAACACTTAAAATCTCTCTCAGCACATTCAAACATACAGTGCATTATTCATAACTCCCGTCGCCATGCTGTACACTGGATCTCGTGAGAGCACTCCTCCTGTTCAACTGAAGTTTTGTATCCTTTGACCAACATGGCCCCAGTTCCACCCTCACTCCCGGCTCCTGGTCACCACCTTCCACTCTCTGCGCCTATGAGTTCAACTTTTTGTAGGTTCCACGTATAAGCGAGATCACTCTGTCACCCAGACCGGAGTGCTGGGGCACACTCCCGGCTACCGCAGCCTCAACCTGTTGGGCTCCGGAGATCCTTCCACCTCAGCCTTCCAAGGCATCGGAACTACAGGCGCACGCTATCACGCCCGGCTAATTTTTTGATTTATTATATAGAGACAAGGTCTTGCCAAGTTGCCAGGGCGAGTCTCGAACCCACAGGCTCAGGCAATCCACTTGCCTCGGCCTCCCAAAGTGCTGGGAAGACAGGCTGAGCCACCGAGCCCGGCCTGGGCTTGGCTTATTTCACTCACCCAAACATCTTCCGGGCTCATCTATGTTGGTGCACGTGTCAGGATGACCTTTTTATGGCAGTATAGTATTCCCTTGTGCACAGGCACCTCATTTTCTTTAGCCACGCAACCATGGGTGGGTACTTAGGCTGATGCACTGCAGTGAACACAGGGTGTGGATTTATCTCGTCGACAGCCTGATCTCATTTCCTCTGGATGTATTCCCAGGAGTGGGATTGCTGGGTCATTTGCTAGCGCTATTTTTAATTTTTTGAGAATCCTCCATACGGTGTTCCATAACGTCTGTACTAATTGTCATTCCCCCCCAGCAGTGCCCGAGGGTTCCCGTTTCTCTGCATCCTCGTGGGCACTTGGAATCTGCCATCTTTCTTATTCCAGGGATTCGGGCAGGTGTGTCTCACCTCATTCGGCTCTCTCAAAAACCCCGATATAGAAAAGACAGGTCAGACGGTTCCCATCTTATGGATGAGGAAACCAAGGCTCAAAGGGTGACATAAATGGCCTGAGGTCACACAGCTCCCGAGAAGCCAAGCTGGGACTGGCATCCGTGTCCTGCACCTGCGCTGACCGTTTTTGGTGTGGAATTGCCATGGTTTGGGATGTGGCCAGGGGAAGGTTTGTTTTCCACGGACCAGAAACTGGGGCCTGGCGGGCTTGCGTTTGAAACCCACTGGTTGGGGAGAGTTTGTTCAAGATGGATTGAGGCTGACTTCTTGATGGGTAACTCAAATTTCATCTTAGAGACTTCAAAGCCTAATGTAGAGCTGACTTTATTATTTTTTAAAAATATATACTTTATTGAGTTTTTTTTTTCCTTTTAAGCTGCAGAAGCAATCCTTATTGCAACAAGTCAAACGGTGCAAAGACAGTCCGAGAAAAGGCTGGCCGTCACTTCTCTCTCCTCCCCAAATCCTGCCCCGCGGAGATGGCCGGTGTCAACAACTTGGGAGGCCCACTTTTTTGCAAACCGAATAAGCTTGCACAAGCATGTAGATTCAGAAATATCATGCATTTTCCTATTTTTTTAAATAGAAGTAGGATCACACGATGCCACTACTTGGCGACTGGCTTATTCTTTGAACCGTATATCACGGACGCCCCTCTGAGTCAATACATAAGAATCTATGGTCTTTTTGCCACAGAATGGTCCGTCGTATGAATGGTGCCATAAATAGCAATCCTTTGCTATTGAAGGATACGGTTGTTTACTCATCATCCTTGTACCTGATGCTGGAGCCTGTTCCTGTTGGTTCTTGGTTTTGCGGGGGGGGGTTTGAGTTGGAGTCTCACTCTGTTGCCCAGGCTGGAGTGCCATGGCACACTCACGGCCACCCCAGCGTCAACCTGCTGGGTTCCAGCGATCCTTCCGCCTCAGCCTTCCAAGTAGCCAGAACTACAGGCATGTGCTACCACACCCGACTAATTTTTTGATTTATTGTAGAGACAAGGTCTTGCCAAGTTGCCTGACCTGGTCTTGAACCTGCGAACTCAGGCAATCCACTCGCCTTGGCTTCCCAAAGTGCTGGGATGACAGGCTGAGCCACAACCTGCTGGTCTTTAAAACGGGAACAGGACCGGGCATGATGGCTCACACCTGCAATTCCAGCTTTGGGAGACTGAAGCAGGAGGGCTGATTGAGTCCAGGAATTCAAGACCAGCCTGGGCAACATAGCGAGACGCCCATCGCTACAAAAAATAAAAAATGAGCAAGGCGTGGGGTGGCACACGGCTGGAATCCCAGCCACCGGGGAGGCTGAGGTGGGAGTGTATCACTTGAGCCCAGGAGTTCGAGGCAGCATTGAACTATGATCGCTCTCCAGCCTGGGTGATAGAGCATGACTGTGTCTTTTAAAAAATAATAACCAATTAAAGCATTGAAAGACCAGGAACACACCCCGTGGTCTTACAAAGCAACAGTGTCTCAAAGCGGGAACTGGGGAGGCTGTTGGGGACCTGTGACTTGACCAGAAAAGGCGCGGGCAGAGCCGGGTTAGGGGTCTTGCTGTTCAGTCACTTCTTTTAGAAGGGGTAAGCAGGGCCTGGCATCTGTGGGCCCGTGCCCCTGTGTTCCTTGGCTCACGGAGTCGCTCCTTGGTCACAGAGTGACTGGGCCAGGCTTCCCCTCGCCTCACCACAGTGTCGTCACTTCCACACGGGTTTGTGGCGACCACCAGCCCAGGTTTGGGCTTAGGGAAGCATCTGGAAAGGTCAGAATTCCTCCCACACCCTGGGCTCCTCCGAGACGCCTCTGTGGCAGCGTCCTCTGGGCGGGCCTGGGGTTCATTTCTGCCACTCACCATGGGCCTGTGTCCCCTCCCAGGCGGCCGGGGTGTCAGTGTGGGCCCCATCCTCAGCAGTAGCGCCTCGGACATCTTCTGTGACAACGAAAACGGGCCTAACTTCCTTTTCCACAACCGGGGCGACGGGACCTTCGTGGACGCCGCGGCCAGTGCTGGTGAGTGGAGGCGGCCACCCCCCTGTGCCCCCATCCCCCAAGACCGCAGTGGACTGGCTGCCCTGTCCCCTCCAGCACGGCCACTCTGACCTCAGGGAGAGTGCGGGACAGGCGGTCATCTGCACCACACCGAGAGGCGGTACTTGTCACCTCCAGCTCCACGTGCCCCGTGGCTCGGGCCCCAGGGAGTGTTGGCTGCAGGGAGAGGGTCCTGGCACCTCCTGGCCACGGTCCTGTTCCAGCGGCTGGAACTGGCCGGGTGATCCTCTGGCCCTGCTTGTGTCTCTCAGCATCAAAGCCCCCTCCAGGATGCCCCGCCCACCTCGGCCCCGCCCACGTACATCTCCAACGTTCCGTTCAACCCAATCACCACCAAAGGGTCCAAGTGCCAGGCGGGTGCTCCAAGCTGGGGTTGCTGACCTGAATAAGGCTGGGACCACCCCCCGTGCAGAAACGGCATTGCTCCTCTAGAAACACGGCTACACACACATCCTCTGTGCTCACCTGTCATCCACCTCAGGGCCTTTGCACCTGCCACTCCCTCTGCCCAGACTGCCCCGCCCATCTCCACCTGCAGAGCGGCCGTTCATCCTTCACCACTCGGCTCAATGCCACCCTGCTGAGCCTCTGTGCCACCTGGCTGTGACCGGCCTCTCCTCCTCACATCCCTGCCTTCCCCTGGGAGTACACCCCGGGAGTGCCCCTCTCACGCAAGCATCTACGTGGCCGTTGTAGTCTGTCTGTGAGCTCCATGAGGACCCGGGTGCTGCTCTGTTCGTTCTTGACACCACGTGTGGCCGCCCCGTCCATTCCGCCAAATGACAGAGAGGACAGGCCACTGAGGGTTGTGGATGGGTGATTCCGTCCCACACCTGCCCTTCAAATGCCCCCCATGAATAAGAGATTGGATCTCACCTCCTCCTTGGAGGCACGGGGCAGAGCTCTGACCTCCGGAAGAGGAGAGCGGGACCTGGACACGTCCACGGAAGCTCCTACCAGCACTAGCTCCTGTGGCAGTGACATCAAGCCCTGGCGTGTGCACCGCTTCCTTCTCATGCTTCAGCCCGCCTCCTCCCCAGCTCTCTGCTCGGGCGTCTCCATCTTGGGGAACCCCGGGCCCAGAGCGCCCCCACCCACCAGGCAACCCC